GAGTTTCTCTTTGTTTTTGTTATTGTCTCTTTTGCTGTGCAGAAGCTCTTTAATTTGATGTAGTCCCAGCTGTTTATCTTTGCCTTCACTATCACTGCTTTGGGTGATGTGTCTGTAAAGATGTCTTTGATGTGCAAATCACGTAGTGTTTCGCCTATATTTCCTTCTATGTATTTTATGGTTTCAGGTCTTATATCTAGTTATTTAATCCATTTTGAGTTGGTTTTTGTGCATGGTGTTAGGTAGTAGTCAAGCTTCATTCTTTTGCATGTAGCGACCCAGTTTTCCCAGCACCATTTATTGAACAAACTTTCTTTGCTCCAATGCATATTCTTTGCTCCTTTGTCAAAGATTAGTTGACCATATATCTGTGGGTTTATTTCTGGGTTTTCTACTCGATTCCATTGGTCTGCATGTATATTCTTGGTCCAATACCATGCAGTTTTGATGATTATGACTTTGTAGTATAGTTTGAAGTCTGGACGTGTGATGCCTCCATTCCCTCCTTTTTTTTTTTTCAGGAGAGCTTTGGCTTTTCAGGGTTTTTGGTGATTCCATATGAATTTCAGCAATAATTGTTCTATTTCTTTGAAGAATGACATTGAGATTTTTATTGGAATAGCATTGAATCTGTATATTGCTTTTGGTAGGATGGCCATTTTAATAAAGTTTATTCTTCCAATCCATGAGCAGTGGATGTCTTTCCATTTCTTTGTGTCTTCTTCTATTTCTTTTAACAGTGTTTGATAATTTTCTTTGTATAGGTCCTTGACCTCTTTTGTTAGATTTATTCCCAAGTATTTGATTTTTTTTGTTTTGGTAATAAAAGGGATTTTTTTTCTTCTTCTTCAGATTTATTGTTTGTGTATAGGAAGGCTACAGACTTTTGCATGTTGATTTTGTATCCTGCCACTTTACTGAACTGATTGATGAGTTGAATTAGTTTTTCTGTGGAGTTTTTGGGGTTCTCTATGTATATTATCACATCATCTGCAAATAGTGATAGTTTGACTTCTTCTTTTCCCATTTGGATTCCTTGTATGTCTTTCTCTTGTCTTACTGCTCTGGCTAGGACTTCCAGTATTATATTGAAAAGCAGTGGTGAGAGTGGACATCCTTGTCTTGTTCCAGATCTTCATGGAAATGCTTTCAGCTTTTCACCATTGAGAATGATACTGGCTGTTGGCTTGTCATAGATGGCCTTTATGATGTTGAGGTATGTTCCTTGTATCCCAAGAATTTCAAGGGCTTTTATCATGAATGGGTGTTGCACTTTGTCAAAAGCTTTCTCAGCATCTATTGATATTATCATATGGTTTTTATATTTCTTTTTGTTGATGTGTTGGATAACGGTGATTGATTTTCGGATGTTGAACCATCCTTGTGTCCCTGGAATGAATCCTACTTGGTCATGGTGAATTATCTTATGGATATGTTGTTGGATTCTGATAGCTAAAATTTTATTGAGGATTTTTGCATCAGTGTTCTTTAGCGAGATTGGCCTGTAGTTTTCTTTTTTTGTGTTGTCTTTGTTCGGTTTTGGTATTAGTGTAATGTTGGCTTCATAGAACGTGTTTGGTATTATCGCTTTCTTCTCAATTTTTTGGAAGAGTTTGTGATGGATAGGCACTAATTCATTTCTGAATGTTTGGTAGAATTCATTTGTAAATCCATCAGGTCCTGGGCTTTTGTTTTTGGGGAGATTTTTGATTACCATTTCAATTTTGCTGCATGTAATTGGTCTGTTTAGGTGTTCTATTTCTTCTTTATCTAGCTTATAAAGCACATTTCAAAGAAGTGAGATTGCTTATTAGCCAAATGCTTCGGACATATTTGCCTATACTTTGGTGTAAAATAATAAAACTGGCTCCATACTTGCCACCTGCAAGGAATCAACAGGGCAATTGTAGCTTAAGGAGGATCAGTGTTTTCAGAATATTAGGCAAGGGTCCCATTTAAAGGGCTTTGTAAGTCAAGGTTATGAATTTGATCTTATTAAATAGTGCTTATTTTTCATATTTGTTTGATATTTTTCTCTTAAATATACTTTGTATGTAGCATATATTTTAGGTTTTATTTTTTTACCTAAGGAGCACGTAAGTATTTTATACTATTAATATACCATATTTTGTATTTTGTCATCACATTTTATGTTATTCTTTCAATTCTTTATATTTTAGTTTCTATTCTTTGCTAAAATTCTTGTCATTTTTTATTTTCCAGAGTACTTCTTCACTTCTGACTCCCGTTATTGTATTTTGCTAAAGAGAAATATAAAACCAGTTTGATGTGACCCTTTGTCGATTAATTCCTTTTCTGCCTGAATATGTTTTTGAAAATGATCATATATTAATTCCTACATTAGGATATGTGTGGGTGCTGGTCTTTCAGTATCTATTATTTCCTGGGGACAAGAGATGCCCTTTCTGATGGCTGATTTATGTTTCAGAATATTTTAAAAATTTGTCTTCTGTTTTACCTTTGAACATTTTTTCTCTATTTTTTTTTAAGATTTTTTTTTAATTTATGCATATAAGAGCTGGGGTGCAGGCCATAGGTGTGGCAGGTGAGAAAATTCACCAGAGCCAGAGCAGGGAGCAGAACAGGCAAATATATTGAAATACACTGCTGAGGGGAGCAACGGGTAAAACAGGAGAGGTCTGCTGTGTCATGTGGGTCACCTCCCTGTCTGGGGATTGAACTCATGCTGCAGTGGCTGCAGATAGCTTCATAGTGCTAAGACTTAACCCCTATGCTACCAGGGAGGCCCCTGATTGTGTTTTTTTTTTTTTTTTTAAGGTATACCTTTGGGATTTAAAAAAAAAATTTATTTGAAAGGCTACTAGTTACTCTTAAAATCAGTGTCAATCTGTTGTCCTTTGGGTATCACGCCTTTTCTCAAATATGCCCTACCTACCACTTAATGTGGTTTCAACCCTTTTTGTGGTTATAATCTGTAACATTGATCTTTTCTCATTTCTTCCCTTCTTTAATATCCAACTCATCTTTCTTTAGCACTTTCAATGAAAAGTTGCATTTTTACCTCTTTCAGACTCACAAAGAATGTTTAAAATTTCTTCTGCCTGTGGCATTGTTGTTTCTGTAAAGATCATTTCTTATGTTTTTTTCATATTCCTTTATTTTGTCTTTATATTTTGTGATGATGTCTAGGGGGACTGAAGCTTAAAAATTTTCTTTCAAATCTTATCAAAGTTTCTGTCCCCTCTGTGGTGGACACTTGTTACTTTACAATTATAAGTCTCACCCTCACCATTTCTTCTTTTTGAGTGACCTGGAGGCCTGCATGCCTCAGTGAATTTCTGTGTTATGGGTTTTCAAAAAATGATGTTTGCATTTATTTTGTCTCAGTTCACTCAGTTGTTTGTGTAGGAAAATATAGAAATATCTTGAATAGGTAACATAGCAATATAACTGTGAGGTTACAACCCTTGAAACAATTTATACATATTTTGAATCAGATATAGATGTTAGCTTTCATTGCACTAAAAATTTGGTTGAATTATTAATTGGCCTTGAGTTGTAAGGAGGTATGTGATTGAAATTATTGTTTTAGGAACGGCTAATATCTGAGTAGTTGTCTCAGAAGAAGTTTTGATTCTTGATTGTCCACCATCATTTGTTCACAGACCTCATGGAACCCTTTTTGGAGATAGTTGAAATTAAGAGTGCATAGGAGTATGGAAGGATTTTTGAAGGTCAACAGCTTTTCTTAGATTTAAGAGGGCTCTCTAGCAGTTTTTTGAATTAGGAAATGTGATGATGAACATTGTGCTTAAGAACCTTGATCTGGCAATTGAGTCAGGGTATTTCATTTGATCTTTCTGAGACCTGGTGAATCTCTGTACCAAGTATTATATGGGTACATTTTGTAACAATTAGGGACAAATTTCTATCTCAAGAAATTTAACCTGGTAGAACCAGGTAACTGATTTTTAAAAATCTGGCTCAGTAAAATTTCAGTAGCAGAGTCTATCTCAACTCAGATAATCATAAGATAACTGTTCTGTTTTGCCAATTTAGTTTTGCAATTGAAACTGAATGTCTGTCATGATTCCATACCACTAAGGTACTTCCTGTGGTTAGCATAGACTACTTTAAAATCTACCCCACATCATGTGTTCTATCATATAAATTTAGCTGAGCTATAAATAGCAGCATTTTATGTTCCTTATATCTACATTCATTCCCTTCTAAGTTGGTTTTCCATCCATCCTCTTGATGGCTGCCACTTCTACTACCCCACTCTGATTGCTTCCATGTCTAATTATACCCTGGTGACCATTTCATCTCTAAAGTAACTTTATTCCCTTGTCACACAGCACTGATTATATACTGGCACTTTTCTCTGTACTTGTTTTTGTATCTGTCTTGCCTGATCAATAAGAATTATAGACTACATTGAAGATATGTGTAGTAGTCCACATTTTCTTTATTTCCATATCCCATATCCACAAGATGATTTAAGCATATTTCTTTCATATTATTATATTTTGACCTTACAGAGTTGGTGGATGTTTGATTAAGGAGGGTCAATATTTTATGAACTAGAGCACAATCATGACCAACAAAGGAGTTTTTGTTTTTTATTTATGATTTTTATCTATTTGAAATTTCTACGAAGATAAATCATGTGTATCAACTCAACTTTATAGGGAAAAGGAATATGATATTGAGGCTGTCTTAGTCAATGAGAAAGTATTGACATAAACCATGTTAAATATAAATTAAATATAATTGCTGCTCTCTAAATATATATGTATTACCTCTTAGAATTAAAGTATGCCTAAAATACAATTTTTTTGAAATATTGGTATTTGTGATACTGAAAATTCATATTTTATGAAAGAATAACTACTATGGTCCTGTATGTCTCTTTATCCCTTAACAGCTGTGTCCAGCTGGTGGTCCACATTCTGCAGTGAGTAGAAACATTTAGGTCAATATTGATATAAAACTTCATGAACTTTCTTCTCTTTCAGCTTTGGTTCGCCTTTGTTAATGGATTTTCTGGGCAGATTTTATTTGAACGTTGGTGCATCGGCTTGTACAATGTGGTAAGCATTCTCCATCTCTATCTGATAGCACACAGAACTTCAGTGACATTCCTTTACTGTTTATGTCTGGGAAGTGTATCTAAGTCAATCATCTGTATACATAGCAGGCAGCACAAATACATCTTTAGGGCCTTTGTTGCTGCGACACATCCTGCAGAAGCCCAAACTCTCCACACATGGTTTCAATCATAGCAGATCATTCTTAAATAGCCCCATGAAATTATTAACCCATATATCTTGATAATAGACCCTTGTTACCTCCCTACTAAATGTGTGCACAATATTTTCATGTTTTTAATGCAAGTAAAAATTTCTGAACTATATCTAAACTCATTATACTTCATACTTTTATTTCTGAATTCTTAAATATGAATATATAGTATATGATCAAGTGTCTCTTTTGTTCTCCGTAAAAGAATATCTATTCTTTGTAAGAATGTTTTCTTCCACAGTTAGTACTAAAATAATGAATTCTGACTGCCAGCTCCTATGGTAAACTATAATCCACTTATTTGGTATTTTTCGTGATTTTAGAGCTCTTTTTTCAGTACTTGATGGCAGTGAACTCAAAAGCTAGAATAAATATAAACTGTAAGCTAAAATGTCTAAGTAGCTACTTCGTTCTTTGTTTTACTGGCAGGAAGAGTTAAGGGCATGTACCTTAGTGCTTTAGAGGCCCTGGTCTGACATATTTTTTGAGTTGCACTTTCACATTGGTTTTGGATCCTAATTCTGACACTCTCTGTCCTATGGGAGTTTATACCATGAAAAAGTTATTATAGATAGGTATAGATAGGAGTTATCAGACATAAAACCATATAAATTGTGGTGTATAAATATTTGCAACTTGTATATGCATTTGTGGCTAGATATTTAAATCTCCATGTAGTCAATCTCTTTTTCATTCTTTTGAGTGGTTAACATACTTGGTACTAGGTATAGAATACAGCATATAAGAGGTTCCCTGTTAACTTATGGGTTATAAGGGTCAGATGTACAGACTAAGATGGCACTGAGACATTGAATCTTGGTGCTTGAACATACTAAACATTGTTAGTTGGTTAATAACTGTGTTACTCACCATAAACTCAGTGGCTCATACTTACGCTTCAAGTCACAAAGGTAACAGGTGGTATGCACAGGGATGACTTTATCTGTGCTAGGAAAGGTATTCTAACCACCCATCACATGGTTAGGGCTCAGCTGCCTCCCCTTGCTATACTAAAGGGAGAGCACAGATTGTTAAATTTGCAGGACCTAAAACTATTTTGAGTAGGTTAAAATTATGCAATCATTTAGGGGGAATATGATGACTTCTCCATCTAGATTTAGTGGTGGAAAGAGCCAAAGTGTCATAAGGGTGACACCTCATACAAACCGATGCCCACATACATATCTTATAATTAGGAGGCTGAGCCCTAGTAAACTGCTTTAGAGCTAAAGCCAGGGCTGGAGAACATGTTACCTTTGTACATGAGGAATAGATTTTTAGCCTATTTTCATGCTCAGGCTTGAGAAGCTGGAATCTTTGCTTAGCTCCATGGAGGCTTGAGCAATTCAAATTAATCCAAGAAATTTGTAGTTAGTATCTACTATACATAAGATGCTGATAAGGTACAGCCAGTATTGGTCAAAGTATGGTAAACAGACCACTTACATGAGAATAACCAGGATTTGCCTGAAGATACAGAATCCTACACCCCATCCAGACTTAATAATTATTTCTCAGAGATACTGCATTTTAAACAAATTCTATACATACACACACCCACAGGCACACATACATACACATACTTGAACACATTTATTTCTGAGCCAGTTGAGAGTAAGTCCTAACAGATTGCCCCTTACTGCTTAACACTTTAGTTGCTAAGACCATTCTCTTATATAACCATAATATACTGATCAAAATCAGAAAAATTATACATGGATACAATACTATCCTTGTTGGGCCACATTCCAATTTTGCCATCATTGTTCTAAAAATATCCCATTTAGCATTTTCTTCTGGTTCCAGAATTCGCCACAAAGATCCAGTGCAAGTGGCAGTGGCTCTCAGGCAATTGCTAGAGAGCCCCCGCTTCTGGCCTGAATTCTCCCTTGCCATTTTCTTGAACAATATTTCTCTTCTACTTTTCCTTCATCTGTACTAATTCTTTACATTTCATGCCCCGAAACCAGCTGAAGTAGAAAATAATTATTCTTTTCAATATGATTCTCATACTGATGAAATATCCTTAAAACTTACTTAAAACACAACTCCCCAAATAATAAGTGACTGCTGTCCCCCTTGATTTTCATTATGTCCTTGATCAGAGTTCAACATCATTTTATTTTGTGGTAGAATAAGAGGAAAGTGGCCACAAAACTCACCAAGATCAGATGGGTTCCAGCTAAATTTTATCTTTTTTAAATTAATAACTCTAATGTTACTTAAACTATTTCAGAGAACATATCCTATTTAATTTTATCAACCAGCAACTAGAAGCCAGCCTCACTTATAAGCATAAGCACAAAATTATAAATAAAATCAGCAAATAGAGTTCAATAAGTATATCAAAAGAATAAAATATTTGACAAGAAGGTTTTATTGAAGGAATAGAGGAGGTTAAAAATGAAACAAATCTTTCTAAATATCAATATATAAGCCAAATAAAGAAGACATGAACCCACCAGTAGATGCTACAAAACTACATGAGGCAATTCAGCTACCATTCCCAAAATAAGAGCTCTAAACAGGAAAGAAACCAAGTAGCTATAATGCAGACCATTTATTAAACATATTGCTATAAATACGTTTATAGTAGCATATTGCTATAAATGGTAAAATTCTAAAACTATTTCATTTTAAAATAAGAAATTTGTCAGGGATGCTGCCCTCACTACATGATTTAACAATTTTTGGGAATTTTTAGTAACTACCTGCAAATATAAGGAAAAAAGATGTTATTATTATGCGTCCATAAATCTACATACAAAACATAGTCATGTAAATATGTTCATATATGATTATATATCTAGAAAACCCAAAAAGATATCCATAAGGAAATACTAGAATGATAAGAGAACTTGTTAAGGTGACCAATCTACAATGAATATATACAAATCAATAGTTGTTTCTATCATAGCAGTCAATAGCTTTCTTTTACTCTAGCAATGAACAGTTAGAAATATTAAAAGGGACTAATAACTCCTTTAAAAAATAACAATTAAAATTATACATTGCAAAGCAATCATTTTTATAATACTTATATGAAAAAAAATCTTACAAAATAAGATTTACACAAATGGAAAGACATACTAATTTCTATATGGGAAAACTTACTATCATTAAAGAATTGACTCTAGGTAAACATAAAAATTTATGCACTATAAGCTAGATCCCAGCTTGTGATTATTTGCTGGTGGAAGAGAAGAATTGCATAAAATTATATTAAAGTGAAAATGAAATTTAAAAAGTGCCTGAGAATAAATGTGCAAAGAATATTAAAAAAAAAATCATAAGGGAAGACTTATCTTTGCTAAATATAAGGCTGTACTTTAAAGCCACCATCACCAAATCAATGTGACGTTGTCATGGAACTAGACAAGTACGTCAGAAAATCTAGACCTATGTCCTAGTTCTTCATTCTAGGTCTTTATGCATATATGAGAACTTAATAAATGTCCAAGATGGTATTTCAGTTTAGTGGGAAAGTTTGAATTAATTGTGCTCTTTCTACTGGCTCTTTACTTAGAAAAATAAATGAATTGGGACTCATACCACATAGATAAATGACCTTCAGATAATAAAAATCTTAAATTTGAAAAATTAAACTGTAAAATAATACTGCAAGAAACTCCTAAGAACTTCCATAACCACAGTTAGACACCTTGAAGCTTTTCTTCTTTACATTGGTTTTCAACGTAGTATTTGATTCAGGGGAACAGGTTCACACCTCCCACACCATACCCACCATCAAAACACCCATAGTCCTTCACCATAGACCCATTTCCCCCTGTTATCATCTTCATCCTCCCTTCTTTTTTAGTAACCTCAATTCTGTAGTTATAAGCTATTCTTGGTCATATAAAAATAAAAGCTATTATATGGCAATAGAAAACCTGTACAAAAAAGAGTATATTTGGCAGTCACCTGGATATCTTAGAATTTTCCCCCAAACTTGTCCGGCTTGTTCTTGCCTCCATGCTTTGTGAGGGCTGTGCTTTTCATGACTGTTTACTTCTGCATCCCTCTTACCCACATCCTCTATTCATCCTGCCAGAGCTCGTAGGTTTAATACACACAGCTCAAAGACTCTTTAGTTAGCAATTCTTTCTTGGTTCTTCCATCTTCTGCATCCTCTCCTCATGAGTAATTTTGCAGAGCACTGTTTTATATGTTTATTTATCTGCCTGTTACCCACCACCCCATCCCCACCCTGCAGTAGGTGGAGTTCCTAAAGGTCAGAGATCTGCTTCTTGTCCTTTTTAAATCTCTATATTCCTAGTGCTTATCCTAGTATCTGGACCATTATTCACTCTCAGTAAATGACTGTCAAATGAATGAATGGATGAAGTACATTGTGTTCCCTGAAATTTGAGCATAAAACCAGGATGGGAAGTTGTAAAATTATGCCTCTGCAGGCACTAACAGAAACACAACAGTGTTGCATGAAGCTTGCTGTGGTGTAACACTAAAACTGTTCATTTTGCAAAGGAAGGTAGTCGTTGATTTAAGCACTTTCCGGGTTCATCAAATATTATGATGTTTTTACTGTTCAATATATTCATTTTATGTGATTAACAGTTGAAAATGGTTTTTCCTTTATTTCTTTGTTTGGAGGGTGTCTGGGCAATTGTGAATCGTTGAATTTCAGGTTTGGACTTGACTAGAAATTAAGTCATCATTCCATAAACTGAAATACTTCAACCGTGTTTAGTGAAAAGGACAAAAGCCTCTTTTAATGACTCTTTGTTCTCCACTCAGATTTTCACAGCATTGCCGCCATTCACTCTGGGAATCTTCGAGAGGTCTTGCACTCAGGAGAGCATGCTCAGGTTTCCCCAGCTCTACAAAATTACCCAGAATGCCGAAGGCTTCAACACAAAGGTAAATGGAACATTTTCACCTCAAAAAGTTATAAGTGCTGCCTTTTGTCATCCAACTATAGTTATCTGCCTGTGAGACAGCTGAAGTTTTAGAGAGAATACTTGAAAATTACTGAGACCATAGACTCTCTTCACATCACAAGTCCAGTAAGGTAAAGATGCCAAATGGGAAAGGAAGTTTCTACATTGCATGTGATGTTACTTACTGTCCCAGCTGTTGTCTCCTCCTACCCTCTTCTCCACATGTGCCTGTGACATCACTGTGACCAGCACGCTCATGACCCTGGTTTGCTTGGGATCAGTCACAGAGAACCCCCTGCCTTTCAGAAAAGCCTCTGTAGTGGCAGGCTGAGAGATTGCTTAATAGAGCCCTCTTGCTTGGTTTTGCATTGAAAAGAAATTGTTTCTTTAGCTAGTGAGTAAAATTGATCAGATTTGAACACAGGCATCAAGTCAGTCATAGGTACTTTTTTTTTTTTCAGTCTGGAGACTAAGAAGAGAGAAAGCATCTTGACCAAAAAATCTAGGCACTCCTGAGAAAACCCAAGCAGGAACTGGGTTTATATGATACAGGGATTCTGCAGCTGTGACTGGCAAAGGAGGCCCCACCATCCTGCCAGTTGCACATGAGAGTGGCTGTTGAAAGCCACTACCAGAAGGGAAGACATGTGCCTGGCACCATGGAGGAGGGGACGGTGTGAACATGCCTGCATTGCTGTATTTCTATCTTAGGTTTTTGTGCAGAACAGGATTAGGAAGTTTAAACAAAAGTCTGTTGCCCAGGTAAGCTAAAATTCAGTGTGTTGATTTGCTTTGGTAGTTTCTGGGCATGTAGTAAGGATGATGTAGAAGGTCCTCAATAAAAAATAAACTACTTCTGAAGACTTCATTTTGACTTAGGTGCTGCTAAGTGGTCTTCCTTCGGAAGAGAAGGAAGACCTGCCTTTTTCTCTAGAAAGCACAATAGACATGTCCAAGACAGGAAAAAGTAAAAAGGAGCCTGTTGGTCCCAGTGTTTTCACGCACAAGCAGACTTGGCTGGCTAATTGTATTCATCTTTCTCTACTATGATTCTAACAGTGGGAAAAAGGACCTGTTTTTTCCTGCATTATCCACATACATCACATCTGTTTTCTATAGTTTGAGTGCAAAGGCTGTATAACATGGGAAGTAATTAGCAAGTGGACCCATTCAAGAAGTAGTAGAGCTGTGAATACAGTGAAACTTGTTTACAAGCACCTTGAAGGATTTTTTTTATTGTTTGTTACTGGTACAGAGGCTCAGGGAAAATCCCATCGCCTTAATTTTTTTTTTTTTCTGTTGTCCCACTGCTACTTAGGATCAAACTATATGACAATTTCCAGAATAATCTGTATATTTTTAAAATAAGTTTAACCTAACTTCATCAGTGTCTTCTCAGTGATTTAAAAGGTGATTGAAATGCATTTATGGAACTACAGTTTATAAAAAACTAAACTTTATGTTCTTTTGCTTGACCTTTCAAGTGTTAAAGAGATTTTTAAAAGGTGAATGTTGGGCAGAAGAGCTAAAAAGAAACTTCTCTGAAGAGGAAATGCAAATGGCCAACAAGCATATGAAAAAATGTTCAACATCACTTGTAATCAGGGAAATGCAAATCAAAACTACCATGAGATACCATCTCACACCAGTGAGAATGGCACATATTAAAAAAACTAGCAACAACAAATGTTGGCGAGGATGTGGAGAAAAAGGAACTCTTGTGCACTGTTGGTGGGAGTGCAAACTGGTCCAACCACTATGGAGAGCTGTGTGGAGATTTCTGGACCTACTAAACATAGAGCTTCCATATGATCCAGCAATTCCACTCCTAGGTATTTACCCAAAGGACACAGAAACATCAATTCCAAAGAGCACCTGCACTCCTATGTTTATAGCAGCACTGTTTACAATAGCTAAGCTTTGGAAACAACCCAAATGCCCAAAAATAGATGACTGGATCAAGAAGATGTGGTACATATATACCATGGAATATTACTCAGCATTCAAAAAAGATAAACACATGCAATTTGCAGCAACATGGATGGCACTGGAAGGGATCATGCTCAGCGAAATAAGCCAAAAAGAAAAAGAAAAATACCGGATGGTCTCACTCATAGCAGGAATCTAGAAAACTTAAATAAGGGACCAGGAAAATGAATATAAGAAAGTGTGAAATCAAAATCAACAAAAAAACTATGAACCAGAGACACTTTTTGGGGGGTGGGGGGTGGGAGGGGAAGGATTGGGGTCAGAATGGGGCGTTTGCAATTGTATGGGGAATATAAAAATAAAATTTAATATTTAAAAAAAAAAAAAAAAAAAAAAAAAAAAAAAAAAAAAAAGAATGAGACAAGGACACAAAAAAAAAAAAAAAAAAAAAAAAAAAAAAAAAAAAATAAAAGGTGAATGATATTAACCAAAATCCTGAGCATTAAGTTTGAATGGGAGGGATTTTTGGAAATAAAAGGAAAGAATGAGGTTATCATATAAGAATTTACATTTAAAGTGTTTTAACACCTTCAAACAGTGCAGTTTCAGTCTCTCATGAACAATTTTTACTTAATACTCTTTTTCTGAATGATTATAAGCTTGTATTATCTTATGATTCTAAAGAAAATGGATCATAATTCATTTTCAAATGAGAATAGATTGTGTGTCAGTCAAAGTATATGTGTATATATATTTTTTGGCCTTTGTTCTAATATATTATCTGGAACTAGCCTAGTCAGTTGTATGTAAAAATGAGGAAATAGTGGGGGATTTTTTTAACTTCAAGAATAATAAGCTACCTCTGGAGCTGAGTAGTACACACAGCAAGCATCCTTCACAATGAGACATTTGTTGAGTTACAGAGAGGTCAAAAGTTGTGGGCAGCTCCTGACTCCCTGGTTTGTTTTCCCTTAGGTTTTCTGGGGTCACTGCATCAACGCCTTGGTCCACTCCCTCATCCTCTTCTGGTTTCCCATGAAAGCACTGGAGCATGGTAACGCTTCATGATTTCAACTGTCAGCAAGTAGCTTTGCAATCCCTCTGGTGCCAGTTCACAATTTTTTCCCCCCAGATCTGCAGAACAAGTGATCACAAGAACAAGTTTCAGAAGAAAAACAAACCCAGAATCTAATGAGAGCTAGTCTTTGGCTTTTAGCTTGTAGGTTTCATCCATTCTAGCTCTCAAAATCCAGTTTTCTTTCCAGTTGACTGGAAAGTTTCAAACACTAGGATTTAAGTTTTAGTAACTGTTTGAGGCAAAGATCTTGAAGAAAAGCACTGTACTATAATGAAACATCAATGCATCTTATCTATGAGTTTGGAGTTTTCTGTTAGTTACTTGAGCTTTTGTTTTCCAAAGCTCACATATTTACATGCAGAATAACTCAACTCTTGTTTAATCTTGCACCTAGTTTTCTGGAAGCGTTTTACATTCCTTGACATATAGCTTTTCAAACAAACTTTATAAGCTTGTTTGAGAACTAATTCTACCATTTGATTGTAGTTTTTCCTAGAAAAGTCAGATGTGTTAGACTTTATTTGTTCATACTTTTTAATACATCCAAACAGTTGCCTCTTAAAAAAACAGACATAGCTTTTAGTCTCAGAAAAACATAATGTATCATGAGGATGTTACTCTTTCATCCTTCTCAAATGGTTATAATCCTTATGGGAAAAAATTACTCCAAATGTTGACTAGGTAAGGTTTTTTTATTGTTCAAAGTCTCCAAAATAGGATTTTTCCAAGTTTCTTTCTTTCTAAGTCAGTGCGTTTTGTGCTTCAGACAGAAATGATTCATCCTCACTGATATGCTTTAATCTGTTAAATACTGACAGAGAAAATGCATGCATGGTCAGTTTATTATACCCTATGACCTATTCTTTCAATTTCATTAAACCGCTTTTTCCGTTGACGGTTCCTAAATTACTGGATTAGAAAATAAAATTTTCTACTTTTAGCCAAACCCCCTGAAAGGGGCATTCTAGTGACTCACTTTCTTTCAACTCTAATGCTTTCCTGTGATTCAGCTTTATCATGGTGGGTTTGATTTCTTTCAAAATGGTTTTGTGAGTAAGGGTTTGCAAATAGAAGAGAATCAACACAGCAACAGGATGGCCTACTAATGAGAAGATATATGCCTGATTTGCATAACAGCAGTTTTGGCAGTTTTCCTCTTGTACTTGAGCCTAGTGTTTGGTACTTAGGAAGAGCCAGTGAACAGTCAGCGTGGACTGACCACAGATACTAACTGCAGACCCATTACCTTTTTCATGTAGACTATGTTTCTAACTCCAAAGTACTTATCTTCAGACTCTCAGAAGTTTTACAAGGCAACCCATTTGCTTACCTGCTTCAAAAGGCACTAATGTGGCCTCATTTTACAGTAGAGATGGTGGTTTTCTAATCCTGGAGTTATGATTATATGCTTTAATGGTGATTTGTAGTTTAGGATGCAGTGTTAACAGTTTACCTAGATTCTTTTGTGCAAACCCATTCATTTACCAAATGTAGTCTATGTTTAAAAGCAGATCAACTCCCAAGAATGACTAATTTACCTGAGGTCTATCACCAAGTGAATTTTATGTTAGTTTCTGCCACCCCTTTCTAGTTCCCTCAAATTTGGCAATTTGCCTAGCAGCCAATCAGTAGGATGATTTTTTTTTTCTGGTCTTTGTTATTATCACCATCATCATCAATGTCATTATTTCATTATATTTATTAAACCTTCAGCATAGAGATTGTCTCTTAATTTTGATCAAAATATCAATCTATTGAATGAAACTGTTAAAAAGTGAAATAAATTATAAATACTAAGTTTATTTGGCATAGAGCAACAAAAGGATATTGGTGTCTTTGTTCGTTAGTTAACTTCTTCTAACAAACTGAATGAATATTTTAGAATTCACGTCTAAATTCTCCCTAATATAGAACAAAAATGATTATATTACTGTTCCTTAACCTTGTTAATTCATGTCACATGTATGCCAAAGACACTGTGGTGGATTCTAAGAGTGATAAGTCCGTGAATCAGTGTGAGTTTTAATTTCAAAGAGTTTGTAGTCTGGTAAGGGAGTTTAGATTTGTACATGGATAATGCCAGTGCATGGTAGAAAAAACTGTCTCAAGTAAAATATGGATTAAAGTATGTGTATTTATATTGTAATATAAATACATTTGAGAAGGTAGGTGAAAACTGGAGTGTAGAGGGCTTTGAATGTAAGGTTAAGAAATTGGGACTTAATAGGTTGGGCATTGAGAGTCAATATAGATTTAGATCAAGGAATGTTGTCATCAGAGAAGTCTGGGATAATGAGTCTATCATGTCATGTCAGAAAAATGATAGAAGGAAAACTGCTAGAAAGAATACTAGCTATATCTCTGTACTTTACAGGCAGCAGGTGAAATTTATAATACAGGGACACAACCAAGTCTAGTGGATCAAGAAAGCCTCTTCAAGGCAATATAGTTAATTTCTTAAAAGATGAGTGAAGGGTGATCAGACAGGCAAGGCAGGTGTGGAGAAAGGTGGGGAAAAGAGCATCCTTGGCCAGTGCACCAGATATGTGCTGCTGAGGAAACTGAGAGGATAGAGGCAGTATTTCTCTTCAGGGGGGTCTGGACCTGAGATTTTGCCCAGACTGACAAGTTTCAGCACCCTAAGGACCCCTGGCCCCTGACAGTAAATGTCAGTACCCTCACCTCTCCTTTTTCCAGTCCATGGGCAATTTTAAATCAAAACATGTCTGCACACATTTCCAACTTCGGGGATCAGCATCAACATCCCTAATCAAGGCAACTACAGCACATAGAGAAGGGATAGTAGCTGGATGGGGAGGCAAAGAAGTTAGGTGATGGTCAGATCACTAAAACTCAAGTGGGGCCTTATTTTCAGTGAAGGGATCGAGGTAGGAGTTACATGATGGGATTTGGGTCCAAAGAAGGTAAGACTGATCTTACATAGGGTGTGGCAAGATCTTGGGTTTTAAGATGGAGGGTGCAGTGGGAGGTGAGGGTTTGGTGGGGGAGGGGGAAGCCAGCAGTAGAAATCAAGAAAGACTGCAAGTTTGGAAAGACCAGGACCTAGCAACTGGTTGGATTATTTATGTGTGCTGATTTACTGTCCTAAACATAAATGAGTTCTTTTTTTTTTTTTAAGATTTATTTATTTATGCATACAAGAATTGGGGTATAGGCCAGGGGCATGGGCGGGGGGGGGGTGGTGAGAGAATTCACCAGAGACAGAGTGACAGGCAGATTGATTGAAATACACTGCTGAGGGGAGCAGCAGGCAAGACAGGAGAGGTCTGCTGTGCCATGTGGGTAACTCCCTGGCCGGGGAGCGAACTCATGTTCCAGTGGCTGCAGATTGCTTCATAGGTTGCATCTTAACCCCTTGTGCCACCAGGGAGACCCCATAAATGAGTTCTTATTACGCTTTCAACAGCCATTTATGAGGATATATTCACCTCACCAAAGATACATAGGAACGTGGCACCACTTTGAAACAAATTGGCAAGGCATTTGGAGGCCCAGATCTAATAGAAGAGTAATTATATGCCTCCCCACAGCCCCAAGAGCTGCCTGAATCTGTCCCTCAGACAGATACTAACATATACTGAGGCCTGAAGTAAATTCCAACTTTGCTTTGTTTGATACTATGTGGAGTATATTACAAAGATGGTGAATTTTATTCTCCACTGTCCTTGAAGAAATTCTTTTTCCACAATCCATAGAGAGAGGCTTAGGTAACCTATCAGTGATATTCACTTTGGGCACATAATTGTTGAAAAGAAATATTTTTGAGGTGTGAGCACATTGTTCATTCCTTAGAGGGCTTCCAAGAATTTTCCTTTGCTTATTTTTGTGTGGTTTTGGATAGACTTCTTAAAGAAATTTTGGAGTTTGTGATAATTCATTTCAAGCTTTAAAATAATTTTTTCCACTCAAACAATTTAGTACATCAGATTTCTTCCAACCATCACAACCTTATACTTACTTCCATGGCCTACCTGCCACTCCCACACTTTCATCTGAAAAGTGATTCTAGGTTAAGAGCAGAGCTATCACCTTTATTAGGACTGAAACCTGTCAAAAACCTTGGTATCAGGCCACACTCAAGTTTTCCATTGGCGTATTCAGTCTGCGTATTTGAGCAACCCTCTTTGAAGTGGAATGTGGCTGTTGGCACAATAATGTAAAATCAGCTTTGATTTTCAAAAAGAAAATTTCGATTTTTTTAAGTGAAATTTAAGAGTAAGGTGATGGAAAAAAAGAATATACTTACCAGCAGAGAAAAATTCCTTTAAAAAAAATTTGTTCTCTTTTTCTCACAGTTCACACCCTGGAAACCATCCCACCCTGTTTCAGGAGAGAAAATTGATACTTATTGTATTGGCACTAATTAAGCAATTAGGTCTTTCAACATTTTTGGAGACGGCTGTTATATACTTTTTAATATATGTGCTATTATAAGATCAGACATTTTATAAACAGAAGTAATGGGACACAGATATAAAATGAAGCATACTTCCCTCTCCCTGTGTAATTGTAGGTCATTTTAGCTCAAACTATTGGTGACCTTTTACTATACACCTGGTGATTTTATCAGCCCTGATGACTTACAGTTGTTTCATATTAAGCTAGGTTTGGGAAAGAGTGCTAATGTTCTCCGAGACCACAACTTGGTAAATGCAATTATTTATTAATTAAAATACACATGCACACAAATACACACACACATATCTATATCTATATCTTTATCTATATCTATATCTATATCTATATCTATATCTATATCTATATCTATATCTATATCTATATCTATATCTATATCTATATCTATATATCTATGATTATGTTCTCTCGGCCAGGACAATACTGGTCTCTAAGTCTCAGTCTACGGTAATGTGCATGACAAGCAAGTTTTCTCCCTTATGGAACTCACATCTATAGTAGGCAGACTTGAACAAGCCACATTATAAAGCATTATAAGA